GACCTCCTTGAAGAATTTAAATTCATCAAGATCCAGTTTCTGCCTCCCAGTGCCACTCCATTACTCAAGCCTATGGACCAGCAGCTTATTTCTAACTTTAAGAAGCTGTACACTAAAGCACTCTTCGAGCGTTGTTTTGAGCTGACTGAAGGGACCAATCTCACTCTCAGAGAGTTTTGGAAATACGTATCACTTCCACATCGTTGCCTGCCTCAAGATGATCGTAAAGGTGTGGGAAGGGGTTACCAAGCGAACCCTTGCTTCTGCTTGGAAGAAGCTCTGGCCGGAGAGCGTTGTCGAATGTGACTTTGAGGGGTTTGAGATAGTACCTGTGGAGCCTGTAGTCAACGAGATTGTGTCTTTGGCCAAGATCATGGGGCTGGAGGTGGATAACAATGATATCGATGAGCTTGTGGAAGAGCACAGTCAAGAGCTGACCACCGAAGAGCTTATGGAGTTGCATTGTGTTTCACAGCAAGAAGTTGTGGAGGAGAGTTTGTCAGAGGAGGAGGAGGAGGTAACAGCAAAGCAACAATCTTCTGGCGCAATAAGAGAAATGCTGAAAGCATGGGAAACTGTTGCATCGTACATTGAGAAGCATCACCCTAATAAGGCAGTGGCTATGCCCGGTACAAATTTATTTAATGATAATGCTGTGTCGCATTTTCACCAAATTTTGAAGCGTCGGCAAAAACAAATGTCTCCAGACAGCTTTCTAGTAAAATAGAATTAGATATGTATCATAAATAATAGACTAATTATTTCGATTTTCTTTTCTGCAAATCGAATTCGCATTCCAGGTTGGTTCATTCCGCATAGAAGAAAAGATGAAGATGATTCACGCTCCTTCATAATATATATATATATATAATTTTCTTTGAATAAACCTTATACATATTTTTTTAGTATTTTTTTCGGCATGAAACGCATTATCGTATTTTACATTAATTTATATGGGAAAAATTGTTTCGCTTAACGAGTGTTTCGCATTACGAGTAAGATTCTGGAATGAATTATGCTCGTTAAGCAAGGTTCCACTGTACTCGCAAATAAGAGGCAGGAAATTACTAGGCCTAGCAGATGCAAGAATGTATACGAGCAAGTGCCGGCATCAGCTCAAAATATCTTCTGCTGTTCAGTAACGAAAATTACCAAAGAGCTTGAAAAATGCAAGACATACGAAGAAAGTACTGAAGAAGTTTATAAGTAAATTTATTTCAGCAGGATAACATGTTAGGAGTTCTGAAAATTTATATAGTAGGCTAGAGTTCCGTGTTGTGTCGAAGGGTTTCTCGATATCCAAGAACACAGCAGCCGTCGACATATTATTGTTGAAATTTAGAGTTACGTGGTCCGCCAGACTCATATATTGAAGTGTCGTTCTGTGGTATGCTCGAAAGCCAAACTGACTTGCGTTTGCTAATTTTATTTCCTCAGTGTATTTTTTTTTTATTCTTCGTGAAATCAGCTTCTGAAATAGTAGGACTGGGCACAGTGCTAACAACTTCTCACCGTAAAAAATAAGTTTGTTACGAAATGTCACGAGAACGTCAGACTTGGACGGATTTTTCGGATAAACGACCTAAGTTACGGAAACTGAACATGCGATTTGTACGTGGAATGTCAGAAGTCTGTATAGGGCAGTACTCTCATGACAGTTGCAAAAGAACTAGCTTCATAACTTGTACTGTTCGCCAAATATAATTAGACTGATCAAGTCAAGGAGGATGAGATGGGCAGAGTATGTAGCACGAATGGGGAGAAGATTAATATATATAGGTTATTGGTGGGAAAGCCAGAAGGAAAGAGATCACTAGGAAGACTAAGAGTTAGGTGGGTGGATAACATAAACTCGACCTTAGGGAAATAGGATGGAGTGGCATTAATTGGATTGATCTGGCTCAGGATATGGCCCAGTGGATGGCTCTTGTAAACACGGCAATGAATCTTCGGGTTCCATAACATGCTGGGAAGTTCTTGAGTAGCTGCGTGACTTGCGGCTTCTCAAGAAGGGCTCAGCTCCATAAGACTGGTTAGTTAGTAGTGGACAAGAGGCTGACAGGACGTAAATTTAGGGGAAATTTTGAGTCTTTGCCGGGTTTCGGAAGAGTTATGATTTTTGCTTGCTTTCAAGGTGCCGGGAAGTGACCAAGCCGAAAGAAGTGATTGATTAAATGTATTAAAAAGCAGAAGAGGTCTTCTTGGAAGATGCCGGAAACTTTAATTTGGAATGCCATCAGAACCACGGGCCTTAACTAATTTCAAGAATTATATATTTTTTTGATAAGTCACAGGGTCGGAAATTGAGAGGAATATCTTCTTCGGTCTGTTTTTGTGAGTGATTCCGCAAGAGGTCATACTGCTTTGGATGTGACCGCTCAGTATGCTAAATTTCTGGCTCATTCTCTTAATAGTGTCACGATTTAGGGGTTCGTTGCGCGTGATTTATGGGCTTTGAACTGGATGGTTGGATTTATTAACACTTCGTACTGGCAATTACCGCGCTATCGCTGATCCGCACACTGCACAGTTCCCCTTTACACACGCAATAGTGTTCTCAGTCTTTACTAGTCGTACCGTGGCAACGGATTTATAAGTCTCACTGTCACTTCAGATCACACATGAAGTCTTCTTTGCACGGCATTGTTTCTTTCTTGTCAAATCTTCTCAGTCACCTTGGAATGCCATCTCCAGAAGTCGACCCAGTTCTTGATAACAGCTCGCTCAAATCAACTCTTCTTCAACTGAACTCTCTCAACTTCTGACAACTCTGTTCCCTTGGAACATACTGTTATTTAGCCTCGGGGCGGACTCCACTGAAAACACCGTCTTCTGTCGTCCCGTATTGTTTTAGACGTGTTGGCTGATCCTTTGCCTGGCGATAGACGTCCTGTTGTTGCGCGCATTGACCCTCGCGGGAATGTTTTTACCGAGTCGTTGCCTAGCAGTGGATACGTCAATAGTTTTAGTGATCATTTTACTGCTGTTTTGCATGCTGTTATATCCATATTTCTTTAAATGATTGACGATATCCCAATCAACTCAAAAGCCGTGTCCGATATGTTGCAGTAACGAAGCTGAACCATCATCACGCACCGAAGAGTGGACGCTCCGGACCATCCAGGGGCTCTGGCTTCCTGCCCAGGATAGACCCTAGCTCCAGGGGAACTGGGCGCAACTCATCTGCAGTTCCTCGGTCCCTGAGCTACGTTGATCCGTCCCGGCCCGTCACGCTGGAGCTGAGCCACGGGTCGGACAAGCAGGTCATTTCCTTACCCACAGAGCGACTGGACCGCAACAAGCGGTACTACGTCACCTTCACCATCAAAGGAGGCCTCAATGGCTCCAAAGATGGTCAACAAGCAGAGGGCTCAGAGGAAGAAACGAAGCTGCGACACAGGCATGCCAACAGCCTCTGATGTTGAAGTCACTGTGGGTTTCCGACATTTTCCTCAGTGTTTCCAAACAGTGCCGAAACATTACTTAAAATTTACTACGAGAGTCCACTTGGACGCTAGACCCAGTTCATCATTTACTTATCACGTGACTACGTGACGTAAAATAATATAAGCAGATGAAGGTGTGTGTGTAAATAAATGAGTCAGTCTTCAGCAAGAGTGGACATACACTCTTCGCGTTAAAACATTTTTGTTACATTTCACAGTCATGCAAGAAGTAGATAACAGTGTTGTTCATGTGCTTAATTAAGCACCACGCCAAGAAGATGAGCTGGGGAGTGTAACTGTAGCTCCACAGATTCTTAATCTCAGCGTGAGATGTAGGGAATGGCGAACATCACACTCCGACCTCTTCATCCCCATGGAAAGAGCCCCCCCCCCACTAGTAACCGCTGGGGGAGTGTGATGCTTGGGCCCCAGAGCCAGTCTTGACGCGATTTTGAAGTGAAATACCTCTCAGCATCACTACAGTCTGGGATGTAACGCCATGTAGTCTGGCATAAGTTCACCGACGTTTCGGAGGAACATACTGCCTCCATCTTCAGAGTCAGAAAATATGCCAAGATATTAGCCGTAACTTAAAGGCACCATGATACTCGGAAACATCGCTGAAATTCTACCGGACCACACGGCGTCACATCCCACAAGCTTGTAGTCTTCATAGTCACTGCTGTGAGAGTTTAACATCAAGCAAAGAACTCTCTCTACCACCTTCTGGAATCGAACACCTGTTGTTAGGTCACCCACCCACTGATCTGGTCACTACGCTGATGAGTTAAGCCCGATAATGCAGGTGCCATGTGAACAGATTTCAAAGAAAACGCACATGGGAATTTCTGGCTAGAACAAAAATATGGCAAGTCATGCGCAGAGGCAGGCAACCATCAGTGTCACAAGTGATTTGTGCTGGGAGCGCAACTTCACAAGAGCCGCTGCTGGAATCGCTCGGTACGTCCGTCTGTCCGGCTGCCTGAACGAAGCAAAACGAGCATAACCGAATAGAGTTTAACGAAACATGACACTCAACACTTTCCAATTTTGGTTAAAATCGGACAGACATAAAAGGACACATTGCGTAAAGATCTTCTGTGCGTATCTTGATCGTAAGTTTCTGAATAACGGAGCGAAATGTTTTTAGCAAAACTGTAGAGCGATACAAAACATATTTTTATCCAATATACGCTTCCTTTAGCGGTACTGAGTACTTTAGCAGTGCAGGTAACNCCCCCCCCCCCCAATTTTCGTTGCTGTTCAACAACACTGTTTCTCCGAAAATAGGCAAAGATTACGAGAGGCTCATATCCTTGACGAATATTAAACAAAACCCTTTCCCACCTGTGTTTATAGTTCTCCACATGCGTAAATATAATATATACACGTATTTATTTAAAATATTATTTTACCGGGGAGCGTAAATATGTTTTGATGCTATCTTAATAAATAACCAGCCTGAGCAAAACCTTCAACTTACGAATTACAATTCTTTCTGCAGAGCGGGTCTTATTGCTGTCTCCCAGTATGCGACGCCGTGTAATTTGTTAAAGTCTCTCTGCTTGTCGCCTGAGTTAGTTCATTCCTCCGAAACGCCTGTAGGTAGTACTTCCCATAATCACATTTGATAGATAGGAACTCAAATTGAACATCCTGCAGGCTTGTTCGCCACTTCTGCGAGTTTTGTCGCGACCTGTGGGCCACACACCACGTCCAGTTCTCTGTGCTACGTTCACGTCAGGCCTATACACTTGTCGCGGCGGAGGAACTTGGGTGGGGCGGTTACGCTTGTCCTCTGTCCGGGAGGTGACTTAAAATTTCGGACGGGACACCGACTCTTATGAGTCAGGTTTCCAGTGGCTTTCTCGGTCCCTCCAGACATATGCCATGTCAGTATATTATATTAGGCCACGCCCATTTCGCTCTACATGCTTTCAAGTTCATGATTCAGTAACCACCCTAAAATTTCCTGCGTTTTTAAGCCTGCAGTCTACCTACTGACATCATCATCATCATCATCATCATCATCAGTAATCTGTCAGACGACAGGTCCACAGTCTCTTCCAAAACAATTCCTCCACTTAATGCGATCTAGAGCTTTCTCCTTCAAATGACAGTATCCTCTTCTGTCCCCAAGGTCATCCAGCATCTTCTTACGTATTCTTGTCACTTCTATCCACCCCTCTGTCTTCCCTTCAATAACTTCTTTTAGAAGGCAGTTTCTGCGTAAAACATGACCAATCCAATTAGCCTTCCGTTTTCTTATTTCGTGTAGGATATTCCTCTGCTCACTGACTCTAATTAACACTTCTTCATTTCTCACATAATCGGTCCAACTGATCTTCTCCATCCTTCTCCAACACCACATTTC